TTTTTTTTTTTTAATTTTTCCTTTTTTTTTTTTTAATTTTTCCTCTTTTTTTATTTTTCCTTTTTTTTTTAGTTTTTCCTTTTTTTTAATTTTTCCTTTTTTTTTATTTTTCCTTTTTTATTATTTTTCCTTTTCCTTTTTTTATTTTTTTTATTTTTCCTTTTTCTTTCTTTTTTTTTTTTTTCCCCTGCAGCAGAACTGGACAAGCTTAAAATCCAAGCTTTTAGATACTTTTATTTAGACCTGAAAGAGGCACGTTCCTGCTCCAGCTCCGCTGCGGTATTTAACCCCATGCTGCAGCTTACGAGCCGCGAGAAGCCCGGGTAGGCAGAGCTTAATTGCGATACAGCTGGCATGGATGCTTTTAACTGCTTACGGGCAAGGGAGGGTTTGTAATCCCTTATTTTCTGGGGTTTATAATTTGTCTCTGTAAAAACCACGCGTTCCCGGCTTGGTACGCGCCCTCTGAGCCCCCCTGCAGAAAAGCACGTCCAAAAGCAACGTGGATATTAGGGAGAAGCAGGGAGGGGCAGCGGGGTCACGTCCTTAAACCATCGTGTTATTATTTTTCTAAATGTTCTGAACTCTGTATGCTCGGCATCGGGCACTGCGGGGTGGCCAAGGCCCAGTCACGGCTCCCAAAGCGTTGATGTGCGCAGAGATGAGAACCGTGGCCTCACCATCCCTCTCCTGCCGGATTTACCCCTCCTAGAGCGGGATTTACCCCTCTTGGGGAAGGATTTACCCCTCCTGGGGCAGGATTTATCGCTCCCAGGACAGGATTTACCCCTCCTGGGGCAGGATTTATCACTCCCAGGGCAGGATTTACCCCTCCCGGGACAGGATTTACCCTTCCCAGGACAGGATTTACCCCTCCTAGGGCAGGATTTACCCTTCCCAGGACAGGATTTACCCCTCCCAGGACAGGATTTACCCTTCCCAGGACAGGATTTATCACTCCCAGGACAGGATTTATCACTCCCAGGACAGGATTTATCACTCCCAGGGCAAAATTTACCCCTCCTAGGGCAGGATTTATCCCTCCCAGGGCAGGATTTACCCTTTCCAGGACAGGATTTACCCCTCCCAGAACAGGATTTACCCTTCCTGGGGCAGGATTTACCCCTCCCAGGGCAGGATTTACCCGTCCCGGGACAGGATTTACCCCCAAAGCAGACCCAAAGCGCAGCAGCTGATGTGCTCCATCAGCCACCTCATCCCGATTCCCAATTCCCCCCTTTATTGTTAACGCGCCCATTTAACGCATTCTCCCATCTGGGTTTTAAATTAGCTAGCTGCCGCCTTGGACTTCTCCGCAGATTTGCTAGCAGTCTGCTGGGTGTTGGTACAATTATTTGCCTGGGTTTTTTCTGCCCTGTTATATATACATACGATTAAAATTAATATTGCACTCGCTTTCCAATTCCTATGCACGAGTACTATGGCATTTTGCTGCAGGCTTTGCTACACTGAAAGGGATGTTGACATTTATGAAATGTTTCTATTCACCTCTGATTTTGCAAACTCTCTCATATGTAATTTAAAAAAAAAAAAAAAAAAAAAAAAAAAAAAACAAGCAAAGCCTGTGATCTGCCAGGCTCCCCTAGAATACCAAAGCAAGTTTCAAACGTTTCAGGCAGGCCCAGAGCGTTGTATCCCAATGTCATTTAAAGGTTGGCACCTGGGGTTTTCAGTGTTTCTAGTTTCATTTTCTCCCCGTTATTATTTACCGCCTGCAGAGAAAATGAAGCAAAAACTTTTCAAAAAGAGAAAAGAATAGGATTTGGGTTGTTTTGTTGTGGTGGTTTTATTTTTTTTTTCTTTCTTTCTTTCTTTCTTTCCCCACCAGTTTGCGAATAGGTGATGTTTGTGGCTGGGCGGATGGATGGAGCTGAGCCCCTGCCCGGGGTGGGGAGGGATGGAGCCAGCCGGGGGCCACGGTCCTACACGGTCACCCAGGGGGACCCTCGCCCCTCTGCAACCAAGCCCCAAAACAGCCAGACTGGGTTTGACTGGTGCCAATGGATGACTGGACACCCCCCCCCCC